GCAGAGGAGTGAGTGGAAGTCACATTGACCTCATCCCAGGACCAACCTGGAATTACAACTAAATTGTGGAGAAATCACCTGGAACAAACAACTGAACAATAGCGAGAGAGGAGCCTTGTAACCTCAGAGACAGAAGAATGGGTTTTACCGCAGTCTAACTGGTAAAGAGTACGGTACAGAGTCGAGAAGGTGGGCAGGGCACACACAGGTGGCAGCACCAGAAGGATATTGAAACAGCCAGTTGGATCCCCCTGAGAAGAGCGGGATCTAAACCAAAAGCGGGGATTTCTATCCCACAGCACCAGAACTCAAAAAGTACACAGAAAACAGCTAGCTGTGAAAAGCGGCAGGGTTGCTCTCTGCCGGAGACAGGCAGCTGGAGACACAAAGAACCGTTTAAAGGGCCAATGCATAAACTTGTATTTGCAGCCACTTACCATGGTCTCCAGCAAAGGCAAGGGCAGAGTGGGCTAGAGACACCTGAGGAGAGAGTAGGGAAGGAGGCTTTGGGGAGAGAACTAAGAGAGTAGCCAGCAGGATCTCAGTGCTGACTCATCCCCCATGCAGCAGCAGCCATCTTGCTCAGGCAGGGACCACTACCCCTGAGTGGCACCAGAGTCAAAGGAGCCAATAGCCGCGCCCCCAGGTGGGATTCCACCCAGCCCTGTACTGTCTAAGCCACCTGCTGAGTGCAGAGTGGTAGCCACAGACAGTAGATCCATGGCTAAAGGGGGTGCAGGGAGGTATGGAGACACTTGAGGAGAGTGTCTCTCCCCAAAGCCTCTGTGTACCTCTTTGTAGGTTTTGATATTGTAGGTACACAGAGGCTTTGGGGAGAGAACGGAGTAGCCAGCAGGATCCAGGTGCAGACTCCTCCCCCATACGGCAGCAACCAGAGAGGACTCCCTAACCTCAACCCCAGGAGGGACTCTGCCCCGCCCTGAGCTGTCTAAGGTGGTCTGCAGAGTGCAGAGTGACTAGTTTAACAGCTAAAGGAGACAGCCACATACAGTAGATTCCTGGAAGTCTCGAAGAGACTGCCTAAGGTCAGCCAGGGACGACATCTGACATCATCAGAGGCAGATCCAGAAAGTAAAAACAGCAGTCTCCAACAACAGAAGTTCACATCACAAAGTCAGGAAATCAAGACAGGTCAATTTAAGCAGCAGAATCAAAAGAGAAGAGTCTCACAAATAATGGGAAGACAAAGAAATATGCGCCTTTCGAAGGGAAAGGAAGAATCCCCAGAAGGAGAACTAAATGAAATAGTGGCAAGTAAACTATCAGATACTGAGTTTCAAAGAATGTTTCTAAGGAAGCTCAATGAACTCAGTGAGCTAGAGAAAATTACAAAAAAACTCCAAGGAAACTACAAGGAACTTACTGCAAACAATACCACCATGAAAAAGGACATAGATTTCTTTACCTTTCAGTGTTGCTGGTCTTATTTTCCTTGCATCTTTGTATTGTTGGTTAGGTTCCACTTATAGGTGAGATCATATGGTATTTGTCTTACAGAGACAAGAGGGAAGGAGGGAGGGGGGGCAGGGACAAGGAAGGGAAGGGGAAAGTCAAGGAACATATAGCAAGGACTCATGGACAAAACCAAAGGGGAAGAGCTGAGGGAGGGAAGAAGGGAGGGGGCAAGGGAAAGTGGTAGGGGGTTGGCAGAGACAAATGTATTTGAAAAAATAAATTAAAATAAAATTTAAAAAAAAGAAAAAGGACATAGAAACTATCAATAAGAGACAAGAGGAAATGAAGCATACAATTTCTGAATTGAAGAACACAGTAGAAGGAATCAAAAGCAGGCTAGATGAAGCCGAGGATCAACACAGTGAGATGGAGGATAAGGTAGAAAAAAGCTCCCAGAAAGAACAAGAAATGGAACAAAGAGTCAAAAAGAATGAAGAGGCATTGAGGGAAATGCAGGACAACCTGAAACATAATAATATCCGTATAATAGGGATGCCAGAAGGAGAAGAGGATGAGGAAGGGATAGAGGATCTGTTTGAAAAAGTCATGCTGGAAAACTTCCCTAATTGGAGGAAAGAAAAGGTCACACAAGTCCAGGAAGCACAGAGGGTCCCATTCAAGAGGACCCAATGAGCCCTACTCCAAGACACATCATGATTAAAATGGCAAATATCAAAGACAAACAGATAATTCTAAAGCAAGCAAGGGAGAAAGAGGTAATAACATATAAGGGAGCCCCAATACAAGCTAGCAGCTGCCTTCTCAACAGAAAGGCTGCAAGCCAGAAGGGAATGGCAAGAAATATTCCAAGTCATGAAAAGCCAAGGTCTGCAACCAAGACTGCTCTACCCAGCAAGGCTCTCAATTAAAATGGAAGGCCAAAAAGAAGGTTAAAAGAATACACCTCCACCAAACCAGCACTGCAAAATATGCTAAAGGGACTGCTTTAAGATGAAGAAGAATTTTCTATGAATGCCCAGTTCCTTTCAGAGTTGCCATTACTTGATATTACCAATATTTTAAATACTCATTAATCTGATTGTGACAATGATGTTATTTTAATTGTTCCTTCACTATTTATTGAAACTAAACCTGTTTTAATTATTTCTTGCCTATTTCTATTATTTTTAAAAAAGGTTTAAATGGCTTTTTGGTATTCTTTATCCATTTATTGAGTAAAGGTTTGTAGAACTTTTTTCCCTAAAAAAACAAAACTAAAAAACAAAAAACCTATTAACCCAGTTTTAGATGTGTTGCAAATACTTCCCTATTCTATTCCTTGTCCTTTAACTTGTTTTATATGTATAGTACTATATAGTCTTAAATGTTTTTTATAATCATATTGTCAATATTTACTTTATAACTTCTGGGTTTTACTATTTTACCTCAGGTCATGAAAAATACTAGTCCTATTTTCTTCTAAAACTCCTTAGATTCTACATATTGATTTTTAACTCACCTGAATATTTCTTGTATAGTGTGTGAAATAGTTCTTGTATAGTGTGTATATTTGTTTTATTTCAAGTAATAGTGGTCTATGAACCTTATTTGTTGAATAAGCCTTATTTTCCCCATTGATTTGAACTGTCGCCTTAATTATATATTATACTGTTAGACAGATATATACATTTGTTTCTAGAATACTCATTATATTTCATTGATCTACTTGATTATTTCTGTGCTGGTGTCATGTTGGTTTAATTGCTGAGACTTTATCATGGTTTTACTTTTTTTAATATTTATAATTAACTTTAACATTTAAAAAAATAAATAAAATCAATCTGCATTTAAGAAAGAAAGAAATAAAGAAAGAGAAAGAAAGAGAGAGAAAGAGATGGAACTCCTACATGTTGCAACAACATGGATGGAACTGGAGAATATTAAGCTAAGTGAAATAAGCCAGTTGGTGAAAGACAAATACCATATGATCTCACCTATAAGTGGACTCCATTCAACAAAATAAACTAACAAACAAAATAAACCACAGGCACGGAAACATGGAGCAGACTTAAAGTGACCAGAGGGGATGGGGAAAGAGGACAATGGTGGAAAGAAGGGGAAGGGACTAGACAAACTGCATGCATGAATGACCATGGACGTGGACAACAGAGTGGGAATTGACTGTGGGAGTGAGGGGGTGGAGTGGAGAGGGATGGGTGGAGGTGGGTAAAGAGGTAAAAATTGAGACAACTGTAATAGAATAAGCATGATTTATAAATTTAAATAAATAGCCCCCCAAAAAATATAAATTACCATTAAATCCAGCAATTCCAATTCTGTGTATATGCTCAAAAGAATTGAAAGCAAGGTCTCAAAAGGATATTAGTATACCTATATTCATAGCAGTAGTTCAAATATGAAAACACACAAGATTTTACCCAAAGATGCATTGAGCAAAATGTATATATTTTCAATAATATGTTGAATATTATCCAGCGTTAAAAAGTATGATTCTGACACATGCCACAACACAGATGGACCTTGACATTATGCTAAGTAAACCAAACACAAATAACACATACTGTATTATTCAATTATATGAAGTAGTTAAAATTATAGGAACAGAAAATAGAATAGTGGTTACCAGGGATTGGGGGAGGACATAGTGTTTAATGAGTACAGTGTTTCAGTTTTTACATATAAAAAGAGTTCCTGAGGTGGATGGTGGTAATGATTGCTGAACAATGTCAATGTAGTACTTAATGCACTGAATTATACACTTAAAATGATTAAAACAGTAAATTTTGTCATGTGTAGTTTACCGCAATAAAAACATTGTTTAAAAAGTGAATATATTAAGAATTCAGAACCTTATAAGTAGTGGAAAAGAAACCTTGAGTACCTCTTTAAAGACATAAGACTCATATAACAACCATAATACACAAAATATACTTTAGAACCTTGAGGCTATAAAGATGGTACATCTTTGTAATGAGTTTCCCGTTACAAAGTCTGGTTATTAAAGCACAAAAGATGATGATAATATTGGCTGTATTATAAATAAGGACTGGTCAGCGACCTTTAAGATGTTATTGGTAGAAGGGAGTGCTAATTTAACAGTCAGTTCTGCTACTATTCTTTGGTAAGGTCTGGACCTATAAATGGTCCTTTTCTTTTATCCAGAAATAACCAGTTCATCAAAAGGAACTCTTACTAGCATGCTTGAAACAACGTTCTACAGTACTTCATCAAGGCACATCCAGCAGCTCAGCATGGCTCTGAAGTGTCCAGTGACCGGGAGCATTGGGAACTACAGGTTAATTCTTCATTCATCTTGTCTTTTCACATAGACCATGTCCCTTCTCAAACAACAGAGACCTAAATTTCAATTTAGTTTTATTCTTCAAATATGTCCAATCGTCAGTTCTCATAATCATTTTCTTAAGTGGATGAAACAAAGCTTAGGGAGAGATTACTCTGCATATACTAAAGAATGTTCTTCTCATTTTTCTTTGAAATTCAATAGTATGCATAATGATATGATTATTAGCCTTAAATTGTTTAAAATATTATCTGTAGCTTACCTACTCTTTTCCCTGATGCGGTATTATTTCCATTCATTCCAATACCACGGGAAGACTACAATTAAAACACAAAACATCTATGGAGGTGAGTTAATGGAGAACAGAAGAAAAGATCAAACATGGAATACTTGCACTTTATTACCAAAATGCTGTTGGTCTTTTATTTAAAACTATTTATTTAATCTAATTTTAATTAAATTAACTTGGAAACTGATTCTCACATCTAGCAATATTGTGCTTATTACTTATGTTTAAGAGAGTATAATTTGATGGCTCAAATAAAAGATCTCATTTGGGAAAATCATTAATAAAAATAGCATTTAAAAGTACATTATTTCCCCCTTACCCATGGTGTTGCTTTCCTCAGTGTCAGTTACCCAAAGTCAACCACAGTCCAAAAATATTAAATGGGAGATTCCAGAAATAAACAATTCATAAGTTTTAAATTGCACACCATTCTGAGTAACATGATGAAATCTCACTCCATTCTGCCAGGAAAGAAATCATCCTTTTGTCCAGAGTATCTAAACTCAATTGATCTCATCACGTAAACATTGCACCAACTCACATTATCACAAGAAGAAGGGTGGGTCCAGTACAATAAGATATTTTGAGAAGGAGAGAAACCACATTCACATAACTTTTATTAGACTATATTGTTATAATTGTTCTGTTTTATTATTAGATATTGTTAATCCGTTACTGTGTCTAACTTACATATATAAGTTAAACTTTATCACAAGCATATATGTTTTATGTAGTATATATGGAGTTTGGTATTATTGTGGTTTTAGACATCCACTGCAGGTATTGAAATGTATCCCCCATAGATAATTGTGGTGGGTACTACTGTGTTAAGTTGTTTAATGAAATTAGTTTCAAGTTACAGTTCTCAATTTAGGACTAAGACATTATTTAAAATTCATCTGATTCTACAAACTAGATAAACATTTTAAGAGAAACTATTAAAAGAAATCAACTTTAGGACTCCTTATTTAAATAAACAAAAAACAAACTTTAAATACATTGAATCATTACAAGGATAACCACTACGAGAACATATCGAAAGGAAAATACTTACTAGAAAAAAATCTGTAGATTCTAACTGAGGAGAACTTTTCCTAGTGCATTTTTCCTGAAGATGCTGGAGGTCTGTGGTCGGTCCATTTCCAGATGTCCGAAGCCTACCTACCCCACCTATGCTCTGTAAATCCTCTCTGCTTGCACTCCGAGCCAAAGAAGCAAGAAAACCTGTATTATTTATACAACCAACAGGTTCTTTGGAAGCCTTGTTAGCCATTTCTGTGATGTCCCGAGCCTCAACTTTAGAAATAACATTGGATCTTTTTCCAGGTGAATCAGTTTTAACAGTTCGAAAGCGAGTAATCCTAGAGAAATAAGAATCAGTTATATTTCGAACATCCAGTGACCGAAGCACATTTTGTGAAGAAGACTGAAGATTCCCAGACTCAAAACATTTGGACTGTCTCTGTGGTTTCACCAAAGAATTAGGGAGTGACACTGGTGTAGAACAGTGAAGAGGTGACAAGAGTCTATTTTTTTGAGGACTTAATTCATGATTGTTGAGAACTGTAGTCTCTACTGATTCACCACTCAACTCTCTTGCAACATTTTTAATATGTTGCTCTGTAGCTTTCAACCCTTTATCACCATGAGTAACTAAGAAGTCAGGATTTACCTTCTGGGTGCCTTCTAAGCTACTGCTCTGTTCATCAATATTTCCTTCTGTAAACAAAGCAAACGAACCTACTTCAGGTAGAAGTGATTTTGCAGTTACACACTCTTCAGAAGTTGGAAATAAAACAGTATCATCCTTATTATTGGATGACAAATTTCCTGAAAAGTGTTGTGTCCGCCTAGGCAGGAATGATCCAAGATGGAGAATAGACTCAGCAAACTCTTTGTCATTTTTGAACTCCACATGGGTTACCTGAGATGGTAGTTTGATGCTACCATTGGAATGATTCAGTGTGTTACTCTCCCAGTTATCATCTTCTTTACAAAAATCACTAGTTATAGATGATACAGGTCTATCAGCAGGGGGCAGCGTTGTCAAACTTGAAATTGCATTGTTGGATGTTTCAGGTAGACATACATTCCTAGGAGAAGGTAAACAAGACTGCCCAATGTGGGGGAGAACTCTTAAGAATCTGTGCCGAACAGCTGCCGTGGAGCTAGTAGAAGATCGAGGTGTTATAGGTGGGCGAGGTTGTACCTTGACAGCTTTTTTAGGCTAAAAGAAAAGAGTGAATATATAATTCCTTTACACGGTCATTTCAGTCATTTTTTTCTGCTCATTAATAAAAACTAACAAAGGAAGAAAATGTGGTTTAATGTATCACATTGGCATTTTTTATTAATTTAAAATGTTTAAAGATTAAAATCTTAAGTTTTTTTAAGAGAATTTTGCTATCTTCCTTAAGTATAATTTTCTGAGAATAATTTTATTTCCCTCACTTCCGATTAACTGTAAGAGTTAGTTGCTGAGAAGAAACCTCACTGTTTATATTAGATATGACATTGCTGACCTATTTTAGATCCTAAACAACTCTTACTAGCCAGATGAGTAAGTGGTTGGCAAGGTAGATATTGCAGAGAAGAATTAACAGAACGAAACTGCTATCCTTGAAAACCCCTGCTTGCACTGTTGGTCCTCGGCTGGCTTCTAGGAACTTGTATTTCAAGAGGGTTTCCACCATCCTAAATGATAAGAATGGCTCATTGTGCCTAACCTGTTTATGCAAACAATAGTTTATTCTGAACATCCCCTTTCCCTCTGAGAGTCTAGAATTTTGATACATGCTAGGCAGAGGGTATCTACATGAACATCCTCTAATAAAATACCTAAGCACAGAGTTTCTAATGAGATTCCCTAGTAAACAACATTCTACATATGTTGACACAATTTATTGATAAAGGAATTAAGTATATCCTATGAGACTGCAGTAGGATATGGTGTCCTACTTGGAAGCTTGTGCCTGGTTTCCCCTTTCCCTTTGCTGATTTTGCCTTGTACCCTTTTACTGAAATAAATCTTAGCCGTGAATACCACTATATGCTAGTCCTGCGAGTCTTCCTAGCAAACTGTCAAACCTGGGAGTGTCTACGGGTCTCTAATACGGTAGGTTTTAGATTTTAATGACAGTATCACAAAAATTCATGATGTTATACATAAAGTTGAAGATTAAAGATGGAGCCTTGCTCTTATCCTTAAGGTATGAACTAATATGAGCATCCAGATAGGATAAAATACCTGATGACATACCAATACGTCCAACATAGAAATAAAAGAAAAGCTAGATAATTCAGTAGATACCATTAGAGGCAAGAAGTAGAAGGGCTAAAAATCCAAAGAAATAGGACTGTTGGAAAGATATTTTGGCTCCACTAGTTACTTATATCTTAGAGCCATTGTTTTTCCAATCTGTAATTTTATACTCAGTGAAAATATTCCTCAAAGATGAAGGTAATGACTTCTGGGCTGTAGAAATTAATGGTAGTTGTCTAAATGTTAATTTCTCCATGATTTCTAAAAAAATTATAAACCAACAACATAAACTAATAAAATCACCCATAATTCTTCATCAATAGTAAAAAACATGTAAAATTAACTTCAAGTTACCTGTAAGAAAGAAAATACTCAAATCCAGGAAACTTATCTGCAAAACCTATGCCTATGGTGAGAGACAAGCAATAGTGTAGAACAAGACAGGAAGGGAGGAAGCAAGAGGGGAAGGAGAGAAGGGAGTAGAAGAGGGAAGGCAGAAAAAGACAGAAATGTGGATAACCTAGGGCTGATGGAACAATTATGTAATAAACCCAATAAGAGAAAATCCTACTTGATTATAAAAAATCAAGCAGGTTTAAGACTTAGGACATTAAAACAGAAGCTACTAGGATGTAAAAAGCAAGTGACTTAAAAAACTGTTCAATACATGACGAGAAGCTTCAAGAATGCACCACTTCTGTAGGAAGAAGGAGTAAGTAGGAAGGAAAAGGCACCCATTAAGAACTTGATCGTGAAGGTAAAGAAGAGAGCATGAAAGTTAAAGAATACTATAGACACAAAAAGGAATCATCAAATCATAAAACATACCAACCCTCACCCTTCATTAAGAGTACCTTTGATTAAAAAAAAACCTGCATTTCACTATAAAGAAAGAAGAGGATGCTCTTGAAATAAGTAATTTACTTTGCCACACAAAATCCTCACTTTTGTCTACACATAATGTTTATTCAAGGAAAAAAATATACGAAAATGTAAACATAAACAGAACAAGGTAGACCAAAATCCATACAAAGCTACTATAAAACAGAAAATTAAAATCAAAATATTTCAGCTGATGAAAATCTTCTGCAAAAAAAAAAAAAAAAATTGAGGCAAAAGAACACTGCATTCACAATACTCTAACCTGAATCAACGTCTTTAACCTAGTATTTGCAGATTTTGTTTTTTGATCCTCGCTCATGGATATGTTTCTTGATTTTAGAGACACAGGAAGGGGGGTAGAGAGAGAGAGAGAGAGAGAGAGGAAAGAGGAAACCTAGTGTGAGAGAGAAACATCAACTGGTTGCCTCCTGTATGTACCCTGACCAAGGATAAAACCCACAACCTAGGTATGTGTCCTGACCCAAATCTAACCCACAAATTTTTGGTTATGGGATGGCACTCCAATGAACTGAGCCACCTGGCCAGAGCCCAGATATTTTTTTTGAGAGCCATATCACATCAAAATCTAAACTCTCAAGACACAAGAATGAATGAAATGAAAGCAATCAAAATACAAAATGCAGAGATTAAAATAATGGTTATAAGGATGATCAAGGAGCTTAAAGGAAAAATGCATAATCCAGGTGAGAACTTAAAGAGGTAGTAAACAGTAAAAAGGGCATAAAAATCATAAAAAAGAACCACTCAGAAATGAAGAATACATTAGAAGGAATCAACAGCAGGTTAGATGAAGTAGAGGGTCAAGTCAGCAATTTAAGGACAAAATAATACTAAGCACCCAAGCAGAGCATAAAAAAGAATTTTTTTAAATTAGGAAAGTCTGAAGGACCTCTGGGACAATATCAAGCATAACAACATCAGTATCACAGAAGTGCCATAAGGAAAAGAGGCTGAACAAGGGAAAAAGAATTTGTTTGAAGAAGTAATGGCTGAAAACTTCACTAACCTAGTGAAGGAAAAATTCACACAAGTTCAGGAAGCACAGAGTCCCAATCAAGATGAACCCAAAGAGGCCCACACCAAGACACATAATTAAAACAGAAAAGGTTCAAAACAAAGAAAGAATCTTAAAAGCAGCAAGATAGAAACACATATTTACCTACAAGGGAGTTCCTCTAAGGCTATCAACTGATTTCTCAACAGAAACACTTCATTCCAGAAAGAATTGGCATAAAATAATCAAAGTGATGAAAAATAAAGACTTACAATCCAATATAATAGGAGCACCTAAATATATAAAGAAAATCTGTGTGGACATTAAGGGAGAGATGGACAACAATACAGTCATAGTAGATTTTAACACCCCATCGACACCAAAGGATAGATCCTCCAGACAGAAATCAACAAGCAACAGCACCTTAAATGACACACAGGATCAGATTAATTTAATTAATATTTAAAAACACTCCATTCCAAAGCAGCAAAATATACATTCTTATCTTTTGATAATGAGAACCATTCTCAGAGATAGATCACATGTTAGGACACAAAACAAGGCTTAATAAATTCAAGGAGATTGATATCATATCAAGCATCTTCTTAGACCAAAATAGTATGAAACTAGAACTCAACTACAATAAAAAAAAAAAAAAACCCTCAAAAACAGTCAAACACATAGAGGTTAAATAATATGCTATTAAACAATGAATAGGTAAACAATGAGATCAAGGAAGAAATCAAAAGTTACCTTGAGACAAATTAAAATAAACACACGACAACTCAAAACCTATGGGACACAGCAAAAGCAGTCATGAGATGGAAGTTCATACATTACAGGTCTACCTCAAAAGCAAGAGAAATCTCATGTAAGAAATCTAACCTTATACATAAAAGAACTAGAAAAAGAACAACAAACAATGCCCAGAGTAAGTAGAGGGAAGTAATAATAAAGACCATGGTGGAAATAATTGACATAAAGACTAAAAAAAGACTTAAAAAAAATCAATGAAACCAGGAGCTAGTTCTTTGAAAAGATAAATGAGACTGATGAACATTTTATCAGACCCATCAAGAAAAAAAAGAGGGCCAAATAAATAAAAGTAGAAATGAAAAAGAAGTAACAACTGACACTACAGAAATAAAAAGGATTATAAGAAAATACCATGAACAACTATATGTCAACTATTAGAAAGCCTGGGTGAAATGGATAAATTCCTCGGAGAATAAATCTTCCAAAGCTCAATCAGGAAGAATTTAAAGACCTGAGGAAAAAGTACTCATGGACATGGACAACAGTGTGGTGATTGCTGAGGGGAGAGTGGTATAAGAGGACAAAATGGTAATGAAAAAGTATATAAAAAAGATTAAATTAAAAAAAAAATCCTTAATAGACTGATTGCAAGTAATGAAGCAGTAATCAAAAACCAGGAAACAAAATCCTGGACCAGATGGCCTCACAGGAGAATTTTACCAAACATTCAAAGCAGAACTAACACTTGTCCTTCTCAAACTCATCCAAAAAATTCAAGAGGCATAAGACTTCCAAGCTCTTTTTATGAGGCCAGCATTATCCTAAGTCCAAAACCAGCTAAAGATACTACAAAGAAAGAAAACTATAGGCCAATATATGTGATGAACATAGCTGCTAAAATCGTCAACAAAATATTAGCAAATCAGATCTAGCAATACCCCATGATTTAAAAGATCATATACCATGATCAACTGGGGTTTCTTCCAAGCATGCAAGGTTGGTACAATATTTGAAAATCAAACATGATATATAGGACTTCCTGTCAAGATGGCAGCATAGGCAGACATGGCTCACTTCATTGCACAACAAAATTACAACTAAAATATGGAACAACTATTGCTCAGAACCCACGGAAATAGAGTTGAATGGAAGTCTGACAACTATGGAATTAAAGAAACCACATCCATCCAGACTGAGCCAGCAGACTGGTGCCATATCTAAGATTCCATCAACCTGGCTAACAATGCTTGATACGCCTTGGAGATCCTAGGAATTCCACCTCACCCAACTTACAGCCCACCCAAACTGCTTT